TCGTGAATGTTCATCACCTCAGGTACAGGTAATTATTTTATTCTTATTGCATTTTAGAAAATCCTTCTTCTTCCATTACATTTTTAAGTTTTTCTCCTTCTTTGAGGAGGGCACAAAGGATTGAAAACAAAAGTAGGCAACAGTATTAATATGGTATAATTTGATATCAATTGGTTCTAAAATAATGAATTATCTAAAAAAATAGGAATAAATAATGCTATTTGAAATGAGGGACCAAGTAGTTCTAGATTAAAATAAAAAAAAGCTTGCTTGGAACTTGTAAGAAAAGACGTGCAAAGAAAAGGCTTGATGAACTGGAAGGTACAGTATGAAGATGCTAATTATTGGGATGTGTAAATTCTCATACTGCTTAAGAAAAGGCAACCCCCCCCAAAAATTCCATTTTATAGATCTTTCATTAATGCATCCCACTGAGTTTGGGGTTCAGATGTTGGTTGGTTGGTTGTTTTTTTAACAATGCATATATTAACTTGTATATATTTAGAAAAATCAAGTAGAATTCAGACCCAGATATTCTTCCACATGACTGCAATATTCAGTGAATTGCTGTGCCATTACAGCATTTTCCTCCCTCTAGTGCAAAAAAAAAAAAATTATACAAAACAGAATGGATGCATTTTAACAACAAGGACTGTATTTATTTTTTTTTTCCAGGAATATACAGTAGAGCTTTTATTTGAGAAGCACAGATGCAAATTTATGTTAGTGAAGGGAAATTAAAAGGAAACAGATTTCCTCTTTTGTGAAGCATGCTATTGTTTCTGAGGTGCTGGGTATAAGGGTAGCACCACATGATTTTCCCCCCTCTACTTTTGTGAATCTTTGTTTGTTTTGCAACATTTTCAGTCCATGGTATTGAGGTAATTGAACCAATAAGAAATAATGTTTAGTAACTTAAGTAAACTCTTATTAACAATCTCCCTTTCTGCTAAATAATTTGTTAGAATGCCAAGCCACAGAGTAAAAAGTTTTGATTTTCAGTTTCCCAAAATACGTGATGCTGCTTTCAGGAAAAAAAGTTATTAGAATTTATTAATTAGACGTTATTATAATTACATATTATTGGTTTTAGAGGTTAGTAGTTAATAATTATTAATAATTATTATATGATTATTACTACCTTGTGCTAGTAACTGACATTTTAACTACAGCATGACTAGACTTAACATATCTTAAAAGTATAGTGGTGCTGTATTAACACATTTTAGTGTAACAAAAAGTACCAACCTAAAAAATTCTATTTTAGATATTGTAGTAATGAAATCAATCGCATCTTCATTTGCGAATAGCTGAAAGCAAGTGTTTCTCAGAATTCATGGAGTTAAGCAAAATACAACTATTCCCAGAATTTTTTCTAACATTAACTCTACACACAGAGCTAAGAGAAAAGCACAACAGATGAAAAGTATAATTCGTTTACTGTACTGTTTTCATTCCTCTAAATTACCCAACCATGTAAGACAAAAGGCATTAAAAAAGGTATATCTACTATTAAATGAGAAAAGCCTACCTGTTTCTAACCATTATGCTGCTAGGAACCTAATGAAAAATATGTTAAGCCACTAATAAACAACTTGGGTTCATTAAGAAAAAAAAAGAAAACAAAGTGGCAGACACATCACAAGAACATTGAAAACTAACCTCTTTCATTAAGGAAAGAAAATGTTAAAGCATTTATACTGCTTTCCCTGCCGTTTTGAAGGATTAAGCATAATATGAAATGGCTTCAGACATGCCACTCACTCTGTCAGGTATCAGTTCAAGGTAATATCTGTAAATTTATGTTCTTGAAAATTATTGTGGTGTAATTTGTTGTAATAACGTATTGCCTATAGCTTTTGAAACACCAGTCAAAATAGCTATGTAAGCATTGACAGTCTATTTCTGCATATATTTATAATGACATGCATTTAGCTAGGTTTTAACCTAGGGAAGTTTCAACTTTCAAAATGGAAAAGTTAATATAGTGAATGCACTTAATGTTCAATTCTTCGGGTATTTAGTAATAATACAAGTTAAAATAAAAACTAACAATCTCTTCAAGTTACATTATTTCAACCCAAACTTCGTTAACTAGATTTTTTATTTTCAGAGTTGCCTTACTCTGTTTTCAGTACCTGATGCTACACACCTGGGTTTCTGAAATCTAAGAAAACTGTTGTATGATGGTAGTGAAGAGTTTTTCTGTTTTTTGCTTAATCCTGAATTTTGTATATTATGATGATCTTGTTTAGAGTTTTTTCAAATATTGAAGATCTATTTTGTGTTGCCTGTGAGAAACAAAAATGCTGGTTTTCACTTTAACAGGATTTAAGATATCGGATGTGACACTACTTAAAGAGACATTTGTGCAAAGCAAATACTTAATACAATAATAACTCTTTTTCTGCTTAATTGTTATGATTCCTACTCTGTCTCAGTGTATACTGGGCAGTAAACTGTTTTCTATTTCATTGTAAGGTTTGAGCTGTGTTGTTATCAGAAATTCATATTGATGTAAGTCAGCTAATAGTATTCCATTGACACTTTTGCTTAAGCAATGTCTCCAGAATCTGACCATCTTTTGATACAGTAATGTATTATATATATATTAACAGGCAAAAGGAGAGGGAAGACAGTTCCTGCTTTACTTAAAAAACCCTACATTGTTATCCCCTATCAACAAGAACAGTTCCTCTCTTTCACAAACATACAATAAAATAAAACCACAAAAAAATACAGTAAAATAAAATAGCAAACCATACAGGAAAAAATGATTACATCCTATCTTCAATATATCCATATTCAAAGAAGCTCAAAACCAGGGCGTGCTGAAGTGTGTAAATTAAGTGACTCTACTGAAAAATGTTATTGGACCAGATGCTGTTCAATTTGTCCTGAATGCAGAAATCCTACAGGCCCATCCTCAAAAGTTTTTCCAGGCTAATTTTAGGCAGTGGAAATTAGATCAAATTCTATCCAAACAAGCAATGAAAGTTTTTCTTAAGCATTTCCAATTCTAATTCAAGTATAGAATGCATAGCAAGACAAAATGCCTTTTCTTAGTCCTGTTCTGGTTCCTCTTACTATTATTTTGTAAAAAAATTGAATTGTTGATGTGGAACAAGATGTGTTTGATATTTTATCTAATTGCTCTATAATGAACACCTGTCTCTATACGTCATTTATATCAGGTGTCTATAATACAGCAACTTTTGTTAAATACTGCAGAAAACAGTTTCAATTTGATGCCCTCTTAAATATCAGTAATATGTGGTTAATTTTTTTCTGCAGAACTAGAAGGGAATATTATTTATTCATGAGGCATCACACAAAATTCATTAGCACAGATGTTACTGCCTGCACAAAGAATTCCAAATGAACATGATGGGTTATAAATTGAAATTAAAATTGACTAGTAATGCAAATCTTAATAACTGCAGAAACAGGACTGTGTAAAGCCATGACATTGTGTACAGTATTTCTCTCTCATGAGCTGCATAAAATATATATTTATGGATAGTGTCAAGCTGTATCTATGGAGGTATATTAGAAATGAGCCAAAACTCACACATATCATTAGTGGCCAAAGCAGCCACTTAGTGAAACAATGTGTTAGTGCATTATCTGTATGTGATTAATAATACTGTATTACTGTAATAATTAATTAATTAAAAATTAATAATACTGTAGTGATAGGACAAGGGGTAATGGGTTAAAACTTAAACAGGGGAAGTTTAGATTAGATTTCCTGTTAGGGTGGTGAGGCACTGGAATAGGTTGCTCAAGGAGGTTGTGAATGCTCCATCCCTGGCAGTGTTCAAGGCCAGGTTGGACGAGGCCTTGGGTGATATGGTTTAGAGCGAGGTGTCCCTGCCCATGGCAGGGGGGTTGGAACTTGATGATCTTAAGGTCCTTTCGAACCCTAACTATTCTATGATACTATGATTCATCTGTGCCAGGGGAAACAGCCTTGTTGAACAGTCTTTCCACGACACTTTTGGAATACGTAAATTCTGGTTTTCTGACTGCATTTTCATTAACAGTTCAGCTGATGCCTTTAATAATGTTAATATATCTACTGAAATGCTTAAGATCTCAAATCATCTGTCCATTTCCAAAAGTGATAAACATGCTGTTAGACACAGGCAATCTATTATTCTGCCAAAAAATGTTTTGGTAAAATGGACACAAATCTTTATCAGGAACATGTGGGATGTTAAGTTAGCTTTATAAAAGCATAATCAGAATTCACATATCCAACACAATCCCAATTGGAACAATAAATATTATCTCTAATTAGAGCAGCCTGTGACACACTTATTAATTATATGTTACATTTAAAAACCTATTCAGAAATTAGAGTGAGGAGAAAAAGTACAGCCTTATGAGGGAATGACTGAAGATTGAATCCATTGTTTTTTTCCTTTCTCTTATTTTGTTACTGATACTGTTGTACTTACCAACCATGCAGCTACGCAGTTTTAGTACTTACATGCATTATGTTGTACTTACATAATTACATTATGATGTGTAAACCTACATTTCATTTTCATTGTTAAGATATATGCCGTGATTTCAACCAACATGCTAGTATTGAAGTTCAACACTATGAATTTAGTAATTTATTATTTTTTTTTTAGTCAAATAACATTTCTTTTAAATTTGTGGTTCCAGCAAATTCCCCTATTAAAGCATCACAAGAAAAGTGTGGCCAAATAATTAGGCAAAGTTCTATGCAAAATTGAGACAAACAAGGCAATCCTGAAATTATCAAACTGCTATTCCTTTAAAAAAGATAAACTACACTTGCTGCTACTATCTATCTCAAAGGGGAAATTATCCATCTTGTCTTTTCTCTTAAGATAAAATCTATTAATTAAACTTTTAAGTTTTAACTAAAAGAACAAAATTAGAATTAATTCTGCAGCTAGTTCATAGAAATAAGTTTCAAGGAAAACATTCATTGCCAGTTCAAAAGAATGAGGTATTATCATGACCTTGTTGCTTGGTGCAGCAGGATTATTTCTCTTTTGAGTATATATTTGTCATGAACAGTACTTCTTTAGATGGCAGACTGAAACTACTCAACTTCAGGAAAAGTATTCAGGAAATAAATCTGAAACAAAAAGAAATTTAAGGTCCTTTCTGCAAGGTAGACAGGAATTTCAAGAAATATGGGACAACTGAGCAGGACACATACAAAAAGTCAGAAGTGAAGTGGAAAAAGCATAAGAAGAATGAGATACAGAGAGGAATGGCGTACGTGTTGAAAAATAGGGGGAGGAAAACATGAAGTTAAGAATGCATTATTTAGACAGAATAATAATAAAGATATGAGAAAAGATGAAAATAATTTCTTATAAATAAAAGCTACATGACTGTATACATATAAAAGCACTTCTATAGATCTAAAAAAGGAAGGAAATAATAAGCAATTTTCAGATTTTGTCATTTGCAAATTACATGACTCATCCTAGGAGAGTGTGAAATTTATACTATCCAAGGATGTAATTCTTTATATATCATATGTTTTACAGAAAGGAAGGATTGGACCAGATTTACTTTTAAAGCAGATATATAGTTGTATTAAAAAAAAAAAAAATAAAGAACATAGATGGACAAAAATTTCTGAAGTTGGAAAATAGAGTTTGATTGTAAGTATAACATGTGCTATCAGCATATTATATGATGTGCACAAAATACCAGGCAGAAAACTTTTTTATCATTATTTATTTTATTAATGCCATCTAGATATTCAAGATCAGCCTTCAAATGATAATGACTTTCAAATGATACTAACCAAGAATCTAAAAATGGCTTTTTTTTTCTCACTTCTGTCTTTTTTTTTTTTCTTAAATATAAAAGGATTAGGGAAAACACAGCTTTTATTTAAAATTATTAATAATTTCCACATAAGTAATCCTGCAATAATTAAGCTCATGCTCAAAGGAGTAGGATCATGGATTTACAGAATCATAGAAAGGTTAGGGTTGGAAAGGACCAACTAGTGCCAACCCCACTGCCATGGGGAGGGACTTCTCACCCTACATACAACATGTCACCCAAGACTCTCCAACCCGGCCTTGAACACTGCCAGGGATGGAGCATTTACCACTTCTTTGGGTGACCTGTTCCAGTGCCTCGCCACCATCACAGTGAAGAATGTCTTCCTTATATCTAAGCTGAACTTCCCCTCTTTAAGTTTAAACCCATTAACTCTTGTCCTACCACTACAACCCCTGATGAGGAGTCCCTCTCCAGCATCCTTGTAGGCCCCCTTCACATATATTGGAAGGCTACTATGAGGTCTTCACACAGCCTTCTGTTCAAGCTGAACAGCCCCATCTTTCTCAGCTGGCCTTTATATGGAAGGTGCTCCAGCCCCCTGATCATCCTCATGGTCCTCCTCTAGACTTGTTCCAACAGGTCCATGTTCTTTTTATGTTGAAGACACCGGAACTGTACACAATACTACAAGTGAGGTTTCACAAGAGCAGAGTAGAGGGGCAGGATCACCTCCTCCTATGACCTTCTGGTCATGCTCCTTTTGATGCAGCCCAGGATACGGTTGGCTTTCTGGGCTGCAAGCGCACACTGTTGGCTCATGTTCAGTTTCTCATCTACCAACACCCCCAAGTCCTTCTTCACAGGGCTGCTCTGAATCTCTTCTTTGCCCAGCCTGTAGCTGTGCCTGGCATTGCCCCATCCCAGGTGCAATATTCATAATTTTCACCATATAAAGAAAATTATGATTAAGAAAAGGATCATCAATAAAAAAATAAGATATGGTAAGGTAAAATAACAAAATGCTTTATCACATTAGATCATGTAATAACTTAAAGTGTACAACTTTGTTTTCAAATGCAGGCACTGTGTAAACAGATGTTTTTTAACAAGGATCTTCAATGAAAAGAAAATAAAATACCCTGACATGTAACTTAAAATCAGATTTCAAAGGAGGAAAAAAAAGTATTTTCCGTGTCTTTCAAGGAATAGATTTTTGTTTCTCACTCTGTCTGTGAAATTCTTTGAACACCTCAAGCCTTTTCTAAAATGAAAAATATCAAAGGATTTTGAGGTAAAGCTTCTTGCCTTAAATTACAAGTTTAAAGATCAGGTAACTTTGAAGACATTTCAGCTCTTCAACTGAAATAAATAATGTAGATGCTGGACCTGAGAAAAGCTGAATAACACACAGCAGGATGTTTGAATCTTAATATATACTGTTGCCTTTGAAACCTTGTGATACAAACATGTCAATTTTGAGTCGGAAAAAAAAAAGAAAGTAAAAAGAAGAAGAATTCAACAATTCATCCTGCTGAATAAAAGCCTCTTGATTATTATCAAGCATGTGGAGAACTAAAACCAAAGAAATATTTGGTCATTTATGAAATTTCAGATTACTTCTAAGATACATTGGTAATGCAAGATTTTGAGAAATTACACTTCTCATTGATAATAAATATTGTCAATGATTTCATTTAGCACCTTGTCACCTCTGACTTTTGTGCACGTAAATATTTTTATGTGACTGTATCTCAAAATCTGAAGAATGATACTTTAAATTCTTAAGCATATGTTTCATATTTTGAAGAGGGCATTTGATTAAACATTATAATCTTCTCCTTTGCCAAAATAATCAAGAATTTTACTTAAGTCTAAACATATAAACACAACTTTTCAATTTGAGCAAGTACCACTCTCAGTAGTAGCCCTGGGTATATGTTTAAAATTAATCTTAAATATTAGGCCTCAGAAGCCTCAGGATTAAGGGGAAACAACATTAGCAGTATAGAAAAAATTATGGAATCAAGAGAGACAAAGTAAAATTCTTCTTAAAAAAAAAAGGAAAAAATATACATCTATTAATCTGTTTTTTATGAAGAGTTTTTAAAGTAATGGAAGGTTTATGACAACATAGTATTGTAAATGAAAGTGGGAGGACAGTAAGCAGGACATTTTGTGAGTTAAGCCTTGCAGGAGAAGATAAGGAGCAGTGAACAGAAGCCTGGCAAAATGTTAAAAGGAATACAAATAGGGAAACATAATGTTCAGATAAGAAAGTTCACTGAAGAACCTTTATAGGCTATAAATAGTGAATTAATAGTAACAAGACTAGCAGGTGGTTGATGAAAGAAAAAAAAAAGAAAAAGGAACCCATGGAAGTTCATTTTGCATCATATATTTCACACCTTGTGCATTATTGACTAGTAAGGAAATAACTGAGTTTGGTAGTGATGTTTTCATATTAAAAGAATATTGGAGCATTGGAAACGTACTTTTCTTACGTATCATCAAAACTGTTCTTTCCTGATAGAGAATAAAGATGAATAAAGGTAAGTAAAGCCTGAGGCACCTGATGCTCACAGCAAACATCTAAGATAAAATCATCAAATCCAGCAACCTTAACTAATTTCAAAAATCTTATTATAAAATTGCTTAGTCTCCCTAGCCTTACTTATACCATTTTAAAGACAAAATCTACTCCTACTTCAATGATTTTATGGAAAAAAAAGGCATTTAAAAAAATTATTATTTGATATAGCTCAGGACATCTAAAATATTTTATGTTGACTGATTACATTTGCCCCCTTTTTAAGGCCATCACTGGGGCATATTTTCTGTATTAATTGTCTTCCTTTATCATCTTTTAACTCCTTTCTTTCCGTCTCTTCAATTACATATAACTTTATGGTCTTTTATACGCCTATTCATAGATCTGGAACCACCTCCCGGAAAATGTCAGTAGTCTCAATATGTTCCCAGCTCATCTTTTCTCTGGTTCATTCTATCTTCAAAAATCTTGTTGCTCTTCAGGGGTAAATTTACCATTGAACAGGATATCAACCTATACTGCTTCCAGCTTATGCCTTTTTACTGTTAATGGAAAGTCACAGTTTACATCATATATTGTACCATGCTCTGTTGTGACATTTGAGTAGCTCTTCTTAAGATCTGGTGAGAAGAAGATTTCCAGTGTTTTGACATCAATTTCTATCCACTATTAGACTGCAAATAAAGGAAATTGACTTTCTTGTGGGAAGGGAAAATAAACACACGGATTCTTCTAACGATGTAGTGAAGTGGCTAACCTCTCCTGGATGGACTGAAGTTCAAGATCTGTATCACCACATTGAGAGTAGAGACTGAATTGCTGCTCACCTAACTGGTGAGAAAGCAACGTTCAGGCTGTAAAAGAGTTACTGCCTCCTGTTGTTATTTTCTGTATGTTATCAAATATTCCAGAGGAGGAGAAAGAAGAGCTGGAAAATCATAAATCTTGTATCTATTGTACAGGAACATCACCTGGCACAAAAAAAAAAAAACCTAAGCAAATTCATTCTACCAACTCAAAGAGAGGGAGAGAGATTTGTTCCTGGAGCTCCTACAGTCCACAAGTGATCCCTTCTCACTGTTTTTTTTCTCAGTGGGTTTGTATACATACATGTATACATACATACATGTATATACATATATATACATACATGACAAGTCTTTGACTCAGTAAAGCTTCCAAGTTGGTATTTTTATTAAAACAGCTCTATTTTAATTAAAAGAAATATTTTAAATAACCTGACCTTTTTCTTTTTCTAATAATTCTCAACTGTATCTCTTATAGAAATCATGCATAATATAACATAAAGGCAGTGAGAATATCATCTCAATTTCTGTCATCACAATAGTTTTGCTTGACTAAATTCTCATCTGAAAGTTGCAAGCAAAATATCATGTGTAGTACAGGAAATGCAGAATAAGACTTTATTAACATTAGCTCATGATACTGTTCTTACACACTGTGTGAAAATGATATTTAATAAAGCAGCAGCTTTTCAGCTTATATGAAGAATGATTTTTTTTCATTTAAAAAGCAAACTGCTAGTTACTCATACATATATTTACACATACCCAAATAAAAACAAACAAGCAAACAAGTTGTATGAAATTAATCAGCTAGGTTAACCTATACAAAATTAAATCAAAAGTAAAAAAAACACTGATAAAAAGTAAGCAAAACCCCAAAACTAAATAAAGTAAGAAAAAAAACTACTGATAAAACAGATTGCACTTAGGATTCTTATCATCTCCTCTTTGAAAAGTTCTTTTTAACATGTCATA